CATTGAAAACCAATTAATCCGTTCCGGAGGTCAGAAAAAAGTAAGAAAAAAAGTCGCTGTCACTATAGGTCAGTGCCGGTTTTTTAAATGTAATTACTGGCTTTTTCTTTTCTTCACTGTAGCTCAGAGATTCAGCTGTCACTTTCCCCCCAGCTAAAAGAAACAATGTTTCCTTTTAGTTTATTTCCCCAAGTTAAAAGAAACAATGTTCCTTTTAATTTGCTTCCGGAGATAAAAGAAACAAAGTATCCTTTAGCTCCAGGGAAAGTGACAGCTAATTCTGTGAGCTATAGTGAAGAAAAAAAAAGCCAGCAATTGCATTTAAAAATCGGCACCAACATACACTTCGTATTGCGAAAAAATTTGTAAAAAATTCATAAACTGAGGCATTATTTTCAATGGATTTTCATTTGTAAACTGAAAATTTTGTTAACCGAGGCATTTGTAAACCGAGGTACACCTGTATATGTGTTTTATGGCTATTTAGTATTCATAGAGTAACAGGGTGAGCTTCAACTATTAAGCGTCATGCAGACGTGTGCCGGGGACCATATGATGGGGTTATTTCCTTGTCCGGAAGCCACAGGCGCTGTGTACATCCACCCACAGCAATCAATGTCTGTATGCTGTTATACGCCAGTACTTCCATAAACAAATGCATGCATACGAATGTCTGTCCAGGGTCATATGTTTGTACACATGTGTATGTATACACAGATACCAGCATACAGCCATGGCATTGCTATGTGACACTATATACAGCACCTTTGGCCTACAGGCAAGGAAGTATGTCTGAATTGTAAATTGTTCCGTCCCCCAGGTGCCTGTGTGCATGAGGCCTAGGATCTGAGAGGGAAAACGCACTTACTGATGTAGATCCAACTCCCTTTACTGTATTTTGCAAGCATCAAATGCTATTTAGTGACCTTCAAAGTATCTAAGCAACACTGCCGCATTAATGAGACGTATAAATAACGTAGCAGCAAAGATTCCCTGTATTGTCAGAGAGAAAGCTGTTTTTAAAATGAAAACATCAGGCAGCCTTTAGTCAGAAAGCCCATTCAAGTCACTTGGGAGGGAGTACAGCCAGGGTTTGTCACGCTGACTGTGGGAAAAAGCATTTTTAAGCAAACAAACTGGAAGCAAACATGAAATGCAATGAAGAGCCAAGACAAATTCAGACGAGAGTGTAGCAGACAGGGTTCGTTCACGGCAGCGGAGCTCCTGTCCCACACATTGACGGGAACTGGTCTCCGAGGGCAACATAGAGGTGTTATGGAAACGCCGCCATTAGTTTTATATGCTTTGTCTTATCAGAGCTTAGACATCAAAGGAGAGACTCACAGCATGGCCTGGAATTATAGGCAATTGAGACTGCCAGCCTTTGATTCTGATTATAATTCCCCCCTTCCAGGGCCACTCAGTTTAAAGAGCGCAAGTCTAATTTAAGGTACATTTCAATCAAGATGGAAAATTAAGCCATTAGATGCATGCAAGAAGGACCATCTATCTGCTTACTACCTGGAGTTTCATCTAGGCATCTCTGTACTTCCCCATTCCACCCCACCCCTCCTACCAGGAATCTGCTGATCTGAGAACCCCTGCTTGTGATTCAGGACAACTATTCACAAACACACCTACTGCAGGTTCCTGGCTTACTACAACAGTCTTTCTCAACCAGGGTGCCTTGAGGTTTCTTCAGGGGTGCCTTGGCAAAATGTCTAAAAATTGCCCAGAACTGTATACAAGTTAGTGGGTGGAACACGCCTGCCTTTTAGTTACACAAAGCCACAGGTTTTCATTGTGCACCATTATGACCTTCTAGCTGCCAGCATCCTGACAACCAATGACATCAGTTTATAAAGAGGATGTCAGCTGCCTGCACAGCATCCTTGTTGGACCCTCCCCTGCCCCTTTTCATCAGTGCTGGGGTCTCATTAGCTGAGTGATGAAGAAAACTGACGGAGAAGAGAAACATTGGAATACTAGTCAGTACCAGTGTGCAAAAGAGTATTTGCTTTGGAAGAATAAATCACCTCTAATGTTGGGTGTCCTACATGTGTGGATGTTGCTGCGGTATATAAAACTATTAGAATAGTTTTTCATATTTTAGAATGGGGTGCTCTTTTAAAATTATGGACAGCCTTGAGGCACCCCATTTTAGAATGGGGTGCCTCAAGACTGTCCATAATTTTAAAGGGTGCCTTGACTGAAAAAAAGGTAAATAAAATTCAGTACTAAAATGTTGCTTACAATCTGCAGTCAGAGCAAGTATACAGTCGTGTGAAAAAGTGAGTACATCCCATGGAAATAGTGGTCTTTTTCAACATATTTTAACAAGCATACATAAGACCTTCAAAGAGTGCACAAGGAACACAAGGAAGATTTGCCTCTCAATCATTTATCCAACAATAATTACATAGTTACATAGTTAGCCTGGCTGAAAAAAGACAAATGTTCATCAAGTTCAACCATTAAAAAAAATGTAAAAACAGTTATAATCCTACACCCACAGTAGATCTAGAGCTAATAATATTAGTAGCTGTAATTGTGTACTGTGGAAGAAGGTTGTACACTCTTGGTCTCCAAAGCCAAGTTTTCTCGGCTTTGGAGACCAAGAGCAGAAATTATTCTTGTAGGTATGTTCTATAACGGCCCACCACTCTCTGATATCGACTGGACATGAAAAAATTACTTCAGTTTGTGGGTTTCCTTGCATGAATTGCCCCTTTAATCACTCCACCACCACCCCCGCAACATTTAATGGGGAGTCCATGACCCCCCACTTCTTTTTGAGCCATTTGTTTGTGTGCTTCTGATCATGTATTTCCGGTCCATCTTTCGGAAAGGTGGCCTCACATTCTTATCAAGCACACTTTGAATTGATGCAAACTTTGTAGTTCAGTTCATAATTGCAAGCTTCCTAGGCCCTAAAGAAGAAGCAAAGCAACCTCAAACCATAATATTTTCACCACCTTGCTTTACAGTTGGTATGAGGTTCACCTGAAATGCTGTTTTGTTTTTTTGCTAAATATGTCTACTGTTACTATGGCCAAATAATTCTCATATGTTTGATGTATCAGTACACAGCACATTGCTCCAAAAGACCTGGTTCTTGCCTATATATTCAGTGGCAGACTTCAGTCTTCCTCAAATGTTCTTTTTGGGCAGCAAAGACGTATCCTGGCACACCTCATATACAGGTTAAATTGGGTGCAGTATCTCTCTAATATTAGATGCATGTGCTTTAACACCAGTTTTGGGGTTCTTGGAGACTGTTTAGGCATTACACAGCCAACTCACACAGCAGAAATTGCTGGTTCTGTACAAATTAGCAGTCATTTGACATCTGCACCACTTGTAGGTTATTTCCTTACAGTGGAATAATCGGCGATCTTTTAAAATTCCTTGCCAGACTCCTAGACATCTAAAAACCTTCTTTCTGAAGGCCTTTGAGAGCTCCATCGATCTTTCATGATGACACCACACGTCAATAGCAAAGAGAACACCAGACCCTAGATAACTAAGGTTTGAATAAGACGGATTCCACCATTTTACTCTTTGGGGAGGTCCTAATTATTGACACTTAATCTGGAACATCTGATTCTAATGTCATGGATGTGAAGTTGTGGTGGTAAATATAGGGATGTTTGGTCTATTTAGACTATGAGAATGAATACACCATCTCAATTTTATGTCATTTGTTCAAATATATCATCTTTATCTGCAGGCACTGCTTGAATGAAGATCTAATGTTTGCCTTTTTAAATATATTGAAAAAGTCAGTAGGGTTCACTTACCTTTTATAAATGACTGTATGTACCACTGAGGGAGAGACTCAAATATAGTCATAGGCTTCTCAATGTGAGAAGGACTCTGAACTAGCTGTATGGGGATCTCTACCAGTGAGGCAATGACTTTGAAGTAGCCATGTGCTTATACATGTACCAGAGGAGGTGAGACTAATGCTGGGTATACACTATCAGTTTGGTTTTTTTTTTCGTTCAACCCAGCAGGCTGAATGAAAAGAAAAACTGAAGCTCTCAAGAGGAGCTTGCTCTACTAATGCAGGCCATACATGGTTCGAATTCTGAACGATTTTTCGCTCGGTAATCTGATGGTGCCATCAATGATATCGAAAATTGGCCAACCAAAGTCATAAAGTTCACCTCATATATTAGGCAAAACATCTGTTCCTTCCAGGTCACGGCTCATGCGCATATTCTTTTCGGAAAAACGATTGTACAATTTGACCATCATTGAGTCAAAAATCGGTTGTTTTTCACAAATTTTCCAACATGCCCGATCACTGAAAAGGGGAGGAACCACGAAAATCAGCCGGTGCCATTGAGCCACTAACAGAGCAAAAATCGGCCAAATATTGGACAAAAAATCAGTTGACTTTCGACCCATGTATGGCCGGCCTAACTATCTGATGTTAGGGCAGTGATCTCCCCACTGAGCTATTGTGTTCTGACAGGGGAACTGCCCCCCCCCCCCCCCCCCCCCGCCAGAACTCACCAGTCAGCTAATCGAATGCTGGTTTGCCAGCATGCCCATTTGACAGAAGCCGTTTGGCCAGCTTCTGTCAGACAGGTTGGTATACACACAGGCTGAATGTTGGCCCGTTTCTGTTGAACTGGCCAATACCGGCCGATGCTTGTCCCGTGTGTATGGGGTTTAAGACATGCAGACACAAAGTTTCTTGTGGTGGTCCTACCAGCTAATAATGTACTGTTACCTTTTTTTTGGTATTTTATACATCATATGGTTATTGTAGGCCTTTTAGAAAGGCAGTAGATATTGTAACCAAAATAGAAGAGCTTTCTTTTTTAATAGGAGACCCACCAGTGCTTTTTTTTTCTTTCATTAATGTTCAGATTTGAAGGCCTTTTCACAGAATATTTTCTGTGGCTCTAACTCTAAAATGTAAAACCTGGTTGTCACATTGTGGTCCAAACGATACATCTTATCTTCTCACATCTGCTTCTTCCCCTTAGAGAACGTATATCTTCACCTTCCTGCTGAGCTCACGTGTCTTCATCCACCCCCATGAGATTCTCGCTAAAGTGGGACAGATCTGCATCAAACAGAAACAACAGCTGGAAGCTGGGACGGAAGCTGACAAGGTAAGAAAGACTGATGTGTCTCACTGCAGGTACGCACCACCCCCAGAGGGGTCCGAGTTCCAAAAAAAAAAAATGAACGTTACAGTTATTCTGACCTTTTGGTAGAAAAAAAACATTGTAAATATAAAGGCATAAAGCCAACCCTACGTAAGCTACTGCATTTTTGAAATACAAATATGTGAACAATTCACTTGCAAAAGGATTTGTATTTCTGTCCACCCAGTGCTGAGATTTACACAGCTCTGCCAGACAGCTCATCACGGCCGGTGACCTCATTTTTCTCTATTGCAGTTAAGCAATACAGCCCAGTCACCACCCAGCTCCCAGCCTCTGATTGGACAGTCAATGGAAGAAGCAGCAACAGACTGATGAAGACACATCTTTGCTCTCTTCTACTATCAGCATGTTCCTTGTTAGCATACTTGCTTGCAGCAGCCCTGAGTACTGCTCCATCCTTTTCCTAGTCTGAATATACAGATTCCAAATGGTTGATATCAGTAAATTGAAATTGTTTACACTATTTGCCCATTTGTTAATCAATGTATATGTATCTTATTTGGTGTTTTTCCAAACTTGTCCAGAGTTCAGTCTGTACATAACTCAGGTTACTTCCATAACTAGTAAGATAATAGAAGATTATATTATTCCTTTATACCTACTGGAACAGCTGAGTATGAATAGAACAGCTGGGAATATACTAAGGCTCATATATTCTGGCCTTTTAAACCTTTTATGTAGGGGTCTCCAAACTTTCTTAACAAAGGGCCAGTTTACTTCAGACTTTAGGGTGGCTGATTGGAGCCTGGAGGGAGTAAACATTTGCCCTATCTTTGGTATTAGGGGAAGAAATAGTCGGGGTCAGTGGGAGGAAGAGTGCCCCAATATTGGTGTCAATGGGAGGAATAGTGCCCCAATATTGGTGTCAGTGGGAGCAATAGTGCCCCATCGTTGGTGTCAGTGGGTGGAATAGTGCCCCATCGCTGGTGTCAGTGGGTGGAATAGTGCCCCATCGCTGGTGTCAGTGGGTGGAATAGTGCCCCATCGCTGGTGTCAGTGGGTGGAATAGTGCCCCATTGCTGGTGTCGGTGGAATAGTGCCCCATTGCTGGTGTCGGTGGAATAGTGCCCCATTGCTGGTGTCGGTGGAATAGTGCCCCATTGCTGGTGTCGGTGGAATAGTGCCCCATTGCTGGTGTCAGTGGGAGGAATAGTGCCCCATTGCTGGTGTCAGTGGGAGGAATAGTGCCCCATTGCTGGTGTCAGTGGGTGGAATAGTGCCCCATCGCTGGTGTCAGTGGGTGGAATAGTGCCCCATCGCTGGTGTCAGTGGGTGGAATAGTGCCCCATCGCTGGTGTCAGTGGGTGGAATAGTGCCCCATTGCTGGTGCCAGTGGGTGGAATAGTGCCCCATTGCTGGTGTCAGTGGGTGGAATAGTGCCCCATCGCTGGTGTCAGTGGGTGGAATAGTGCTCCATTGTTGGTGTCAGTGGAAGGAATAGTGCCCCTGTGTGGTGGTGGTGTTCTTCTCGGTTTGTTTTTATCGTTGGTGTCAGTTGCAAAAATAGTGTCCCATTGTTGGTATGAGTGTCAGGAATGGTGACCCTAACCAAAAAGAAACTAAAGGGGTTTTAAAGGTACCAAACCATAGAAATCAATATCAATTTTACAGAAAATAGAAGGATAAATCATAGAAAATTGAACACCTTTTATTGGGTTAAAGAAAACACCAACAGGTGGAACATGACCATCAAACACATACATAGAAAATTATAAAATTAAATTATTCAAATGAACGGAACTACAATCAGTAGCCCAACTACAATGGTTGCAACTGATGTCCAAGACGTAAGATAGGCGTCATGGGCATCAGCTACAGATCACTGGTAGCTACAGAGAGACATGAAGACTAGGACAATGGTGTCTCATCATAGGTAACAGTAGATATATTGGTACATAGCTTCAACCTAAAACCATGAATTTGGTAACTTTGTTGATAATTCCAACACGTTTCAAGGGACAATGCCCGCTTTCAGGGAAAACAAAACAGAGATTCCAGATGACGATACTGATAACCTCCCAAATGGCCTGTGCAGGATATATAGAACATGTCATCCACATCTGGATGGAAAGTGGGCCTCCAGCAAATAATGAGAAGTCATCGTCATTCAAGAGAAGATATAATGACAGCAGAAATGTCATTCACAGTAAGTGTTAGTGGCTGACAATAGGTGCTCCAAAGCAAGGGTACCTCAAGAAAAAAAACGTATCCCATCGATAGGGAAGGATATGTGTATATATATGTATATGTGTGTGTATGTATGTGTATATATATGTGTGCGTGTGTGTGTGTGTATATATATATATATATATATATATATAAAACCTGACTTCTCAGTGTCGCCTTCCCTCTTCAGCAGTAGGCTGTTTGCCTCTTTCTCCCTACAGCAGCCTCTACATATACAAACAGCTTGCATTAAATGTGATGAAGATGTTCTGTTGGCCCTGTGCCTAGGGCAGTACAGTCACATACAATAATAGTTTGAATTCCTGCTGTTCTCTCTATAGGACACCATGCAGTAAGTGATGAATTTATATGGCCAGGAGTGCAGTGGCACTTCTGGGTCAGACTCCAATATCTTTACAATTTGATTCCAAGAGCCACATACTCTCAGCAGTGACTAGCCAATAAAGTGGACCTATCATTAAAATTCCCAAGAATCAATAGGGCATATGTGAGCATTTCTAAATCAAGTGATTAGGCTAAGCAAAAAAGCATTCTGTCTCCCCAGCTCTGTCATCACAAGCCTTGACATGTAAGGTCATAGGATCTCTGCTAATAATGGGCATTCTGAGTGTTTCAATTCATTAGAGACTGCGAAGAGTCAATTGATTTCAAGCAGACTGACCCTGAGTAGTGGACTAAAATGAAAGGATCAGCAAGGCATACCAACATTGTGCAGTATTGCTATGCATGAAGCAGGGCTGACATATATGTGGATATGGCTGTCCCAATTACAGATATGATGTGCTATACATAGAAAATGGGTTTGCAGTACATAAACATACATTTATGATGATATTTATAGTCAATGGGTCATTTTTTTATTTCTATTAAAACGATTTAAAAGTCATCGTTTAGTGTTGAGTGCTTTCCTTGCTGTAAATTTCCCCGTGCCCTTTGGTGTGCGGTGTTGAGGATGACTATGTCACTCTCATGCGGTTGTCATCAGAGTTTCCACACCATAGAAGTGAAAGTGTGAGCGGCTTTCCCATATGCCAGCGTGTGTTTTTTGTGTTCAATATGTGTGTGACGTAGAGTAGTACGGGGGGGCGGTCCACGGGGGCTTACATAGTATGACAAGTGTCTTCCACAGGAAGCAGCAGTCTAATTATATGTCTGCCTACACACCGCTTCCTTCAAGAGAGTCAGTGCAAAGTGCCTGCCTTGTTTTCCTGTACATACAGTGTGAATGCATTAACAAGCTTGTGTCCTTCTCCAGCTACACATTTGCTGCTTTCTGCTACTTTGTTGGGTTTATTTAACCCCTCAGGATCCCTACACAGCAGAGGGCATGTGCTATGCTCTATATAACGCATGCCCACTGGCAGTATGATGCATTTATGCACAGCTTTGCACTGTATGCATTTTTTTTAATGTCACAAAATGCAACCTGTCCTACATTGCACTGATGTGTACTGAAAGAAGGGGTCATAGTTATGTAACTATATTTGTAATACCTCATCTGGAATATGCAGTTCAGTTTTGGGTACCAATTCACAAAAAGAACATTGGGGAACTGGAGAAAGTACAGAGAAGGGCAACCAAACTGATACGAGGCATGGAGGAGCTCAGCTATGAGGAAAGATTAGAGGAACTGAATTTATTCTCTCTTGAGAAGAGGAGACTAAGGGGGGATATGATCAACATGTAGAAATACATCAGTGGTTCATATAGTGAACTCGGTGTAGAGCTATTCACCCTGAGGTGATCACAGAGGACAAGGGAGCACTCTTTACATCTGGAGGAAAAGAGATTTAATCTCCAAACACGGAAAGGTTTCTTCACAGTGAGAGCTGTGAAAATGTGGAATAGACTCCCTCAAGAGTTGGTTCTGGCCAGCTCCTCAGTTCCTCCAATCTTTCCTCATAGCTGAGCTCCTCCATGCCTCTTATCAGTTTGGTTGCCCTTCTCTGTACTTTCTCCAGTTCTCCAATGTTCTTTTTGTGAATTGGTGCCCAAAACTGAACTGCATATTCCAGATGAGGTATTACTAATGATTTGTACAGGGGTAATATGATATCTCTCTCTTTGGAGTCTATACCTCTTTTGATACAAGAGAGGATTTTGCTCGCTTTAGAAACCGCAGCTTGGCATTGCATGCCATTATTAAGCTTGTGATCTACCAGAACTCCCAGATCCTTCTCCACCATTGATTCCCCCAGTTGTACTCCCCCTCAATTTGATTTGTTGCAGTATCTGGCCCCTGACGCCCTCTACACCAAGACCTGAGTCACCAAAGACCACTGATCGCTCAGTTCTTTGGTCCGCTTTGAGCATAGAGCGGTGATTGTCAATCACCGCTCTGTGCTCTGGCCCTCCCTCAGTGCTCACTGGGTCACTGGGCTGTGGAGGGGGCAGGATTGGCTGGTTCAGGTGGCACACTGAGAGGCTGAGCCAGCTGACGGTCAGGAATTTGAGCAGGTCCTGACATCATTGTCGGGATCCCTGCAGAGCCTGGACCTGCTCTGTGACATCAGCCAACTGAAGCCCACTGTCAGCTGAATCTGGGTCACTGCAGTGCAGAACTAAGTGTATTCCTGTGACCTGCAGAAGAAGTAAGACTGTGTTTCTGCTTTAATGGCTATAGGAATCCACTGCTGTGCGATTTCCTCCTGTGTGTTCTGCTGTTCTCCTGTATCCCAGCTTTGGCCGTTTCTGACAGCCTCAATTTCATAGATTCTCTCTGATTGGTTCCTGGCAGAATCTTTTAAACAGAGGCTGTCAGAAATGGCCAAAATCAGGAGTCAGGAGACCTTGGTTCTAGTTATAGAGAACTCTGACCGCCCAGAAATCATGTGATAAATCGCAAATCACTCGCTCTACTCCATGACCATGACTTTTGTATCATCAGTTGGACTGGCTACAATATACACATGTGATGTAATTCTGCAAATAGGAGAAGTGTCTTATTGCACTATATGTTGCTTATGTGCAGTTATCAACCACAGAGACAGAGAGTCTCTCAAACAGCAGTTGTTGGGAGGAGGGAGGGACATTTTTTTTTCTTCATTTTTTAATATACACGTACAGTTGCAGTGAACTAAAAAACATGCTTTGTATTTTATGGTGGTTTGGGCAGCACATTGGCTGAATGGTTAGCACTTCCGCCTGGCAGTACAAGGGTCATTGGTTCAAATCCCAACCACAGCACCTCCTGCCCTTGAGTTTGCATGTTCTCCCTGTGCCTGCGTGGGTTTCCTCCGCATACTCCGGTTTCCTCCCACACTCCAAAGACATGCTGGTAGGGTAATTGGCTCCTGTCTAAATTGTCCCTAGTATGTGTATGTATGAATTTGAGTTAGCGACCTTAGATTGTACACCCCTTGAGGGTTAGGGACTGATGTGAATGTGCAATATATATGTAAAGCACTGCGTAACTTGACGGCACTATATAAGTACCTGAAATAAATAAAAAAAAGCTTACTACACTGAAAAGTGGGGGCTTGTTTGTGACCATGTAAGACATACAAGATATGTATACCATCATGTTTAGTGTTCCTTTGCTCAGAACAAACAGCAAAAATGACAGTTGTTATTAGAGAATTTGAGGCCATTTTTTTCTATAATCTGTCCCAGAAAAAGAACCGTAACGACATTATTAGCAGTTAAAACTCCACATTTCTAAATTGCAAAAATGACTGGTAATAGATGGGTTAAAGCAGAACTAAACTCATTGATTTCACGGTTTCAAAAAAGTTACATTCCCAGCATGCTACCTGTCACATTTGCTTGCGCTGTCAACCTCAACCAAACTCACCATGACAGTCACAGATCAGACAGGCTGGAAAGGACAGGAGGGTTTAGTTCCACGTTAAGCAGCAATTTGCATGAAAACCTTTTAATTTGCTGTCAAAGTTCTAAAATGTTACTATAGGTATGGGTATTTAGCTAGCCATTGGATTTTGCACTAGGATATGCTAACTGCCATTTTTTTTTATCAAAGTATTTTGATAGCAGAATGTTTGTCGGCTGGAAACATTGATGATTTTTGGCAGGTCTGTACATTTCAGGGGGGTAGCAGCACTCTCCCCTGAATGCCAAGCGTGTGACGTCACCCCTTGGTAACTGTACACCACTAAACATGTTCACATTAATGCACAGTGACAAAGACACAGACGCACAGACCTGTGACTCATAGCCTGCTTTCCTCCTCCTGTTGTTGGGTCTGTGTGTAGGCAGGCAAAGCCTCGGACCTCTATGTAGGCATGACCCAGCCACAGATCTGGAAGATGTGACACACAGCACATTGCTCTGTTGGTACTTTATAGAAAATGCAGCAGGCCACCTAAGGAAATGCAATGATGAATGCGTGAGTGCATGTCCACAATATAGATGGCCTGCTTTTTGTAGTCTGGGGGCAGCAACATTCGTGAGACCCTTGGAAATTTAGTGTCAGTTACCAGATCATAGAAAAGAATAGAGTCCACTGCCATGATTGTTCAGAAGGTTTATCCTCCTGGTAGTCCTAGTTCTGCCTCCACAATGAAATGTGTGACTATATGGGCCAGGGAACCTTGTTTAAAAGATTAGCTCACCTCGGGAGCATGTTATACCCAGATTTACCCACATGGAAGAAAAATATATTTTAAAAATATTCTTCCCAAATATATTGACATATATTTGAAATACTTCAATTTTGGCCATATTCAATATATTAAAATATATATATATATATATATCTTAGATTGTAAGCTCCCAGGATCAGGCCCTCCGAGCCCTCTTGTATTGAACTGTATTGTTGCTGTACTGTCTCCCTTTATATTGTAAAGTGCTGAGCAAACTGTTGGCGCTATATAAATCCTCTATTATAATAATAATAATAATATATATATATATATATCGTGTTGAAATGTGTTTTTATTACAAAATATATGAAAAATATTCTTTAAAATACATTTCAAATATACTGTATGTCTTTAAAAATACAAATCTACATTTTTGGAATGCTTTTCCAAATATATGTAAAATATATATGTTAAAATTACTTTTTTATATGTTAAAAAAAATCTGAAGAATATATTTTTAAAAATATATATTTTAAACAATATATATTCTGAAATATATTTAATATGGCCAAAATTGTAGTATTTTAAATATATGGCAATATATTTGGAAAGAATATTTTTAAAATATATTTCATATATATTTTTCTTTGGGTAGGTGGTAACATGAAGCATGGTCATAGCCTTTGTGTTACACTTTTGACAAGTTTACCTTAAAGCGATATTAACCATCAAACAAAAAAAGTGATATTAACCATCAAACAAAAATGTATTGTATTGCAGCTTACCAATCATTATATGTGGTGGCTGCATTAGTTTTCTTCGCTTTTTTTTTTTCCCCCTCTGTTTTCACCTGGTGATGTGGCCAGTAACTTTTTTTGTATTAGAGTGCCCCCACTCTGGATGAAGGAGCACAGGGGCACAACATACAGCAGCATTGTCAGCCTGGGGGGTGGGGGGAGAGTGTTAGTTGTACTTGCAGCTTTAGATATACTAACAAATTTGAAGCCAAACTCCAGCTAACACTTTTTAATATGAGGAAATGACGGGAGGGGGCGGCAGCTCTCTTGTTCTGAGAGGACATCATATGATGTCTTCCCACTCTAGCTGCACATGCGTGCCCTGCGGTGCAACGGACGGTGGTGCGCTGTGTCTCTGGAGCACCGATTGCAGTAAAGAGCCGATGACACAGGCTCTATCATGTGATCAGCTGTGTCCAGTCACAGCTGATCGCATGTAAATAAGAAATGCCGGTTATTGGCAGTCCTCTCTTCATGCTGACAGAACGTGAGGAGAGGAGGGCCGGTAAGTGACATTCCTCAGAGGGGACATCTACACTGATCATCAGGGCACTGATGATCAGTGTAGCCCCATTAGTGCTGCCTTTCAGTGCCCATAATTGCCACCTGTCAGTGCACATCAATGCCATATATCAGTGCCCATCAGAGCTGCCTTTCAGTGCCAGGCATCACTATCAGTGCTAGTCAGTGACGCCTATCAGTGCCATATATGAGTGATGCCTTTCAGTGCCCACCAGTGATGCCTGTCAATGCCCATCAGTGTCACCTATCAGAGCCTCTTCATCAGTGCAGCCTATCAGTGTCCATCACTGCAGCCTCATTAGTGCATATCAACGAAGGAGAAAAATTACTTATTTACAAAATTTTAGAACAGAAACTAAGGAAAAAAATTTTTTTTTCAAAATTTTCAGTCTTTTTTAGTTTGTTTAGCAAAAAATAAAACCCCAGTGGTAATTAAAAGAAAGCTCTATATGTCTCAAAAAAAAAATAACAATTTTGTTTGGGTAAAGTGTTGCATGACCGCACAATTGTCATTCAAAGTGCAACAGCGCTGAAAGCTGAAAATTGGCATGGGCAGGAAGGGGGTGAAAATGACCTGTAGGCAAGTGGTTAAGCAGTTACAGCAACATTTCTTTTTTCTTTTTTAGGATAAAGGTTTACATAACTTAATAAAAGCTGATCATTGTAAGCACCCCTGTTAGTGATAAATGGTTTGTCTCCTCCCAATAACTGCTACATCTGCAGGAGAGTTTGTTCTTTTGAAAAACAGGCTTACTGATCAGATCATAAGGGGAAAATAAGGGAAAGAAAGCCTAAAAAAGAAAACGAATGCAGCCACCACATGTAAAAATTGGTAAGCTGTAATATAATAAAGTTTCCTTTTGGGTTTAATATTGCTTTAATCACTGGAGTGTCTCTCCTGGTGATATCAAACCCAGACATATTAGGTGGGTTACAATTGTAGCTCTCACCTCCCTGGTTTTCCTGAAGATCAAATGTATCAGCATTATTTCAGGTCACACATGACTGATCAGTACATATTCCTATCCCTAATGCCTTCTTTTCTTGCCTCTTCAAATCCACAGGCCAAGCTGAAATCCTTTGCTGCTAAGATCATCCAACTGCTGAGAGAATGGACAGAGACCTTCCCCTTCGATTTCCAGGATGAGAGAGCTAGGAAAGAGCTGAAGGAGATTGCACAAAGAATCACGCAGTGTGATGAGGTGAGAAGCACCGGCCAGGCCCCCCAGCTGATTTTATTCTGGCGTTACTTTCCGCTCTGTATTACAGCACTGCAGGAAACTTTCCCAGTTTGGACTTCTTTATAAGGAATACTTAGTGTTTTTTTGCATAATTTCTTTATTCTAGCCCAGACAGATATACATTCATAAAAATATTTTTTTATTGGGTAGTATTTATTTGATTGGGTTGTATTTATTTGATTGGGTTGTATTGCATATTAATATTTTGCTTTCTGCTTTTGAGTCGGCAAAGGAAATTGTAGGCTCATTGTTATGCTTTAAATGCACTTCACTTTTTGTTTCCAAACTTCTGTGACTCACCAGCAGTTGCTTTATCTCTGTGACTCATCTGTTATCAGAGAGCTCAGTCCTGAGCTTCAATCACACACACAAAGCATCACAGCAAGCAGCTCTTTAGCTAACCCATAGTGCTCTGGGAATCCTTTGTCATGTATGAAATATTTCTTTATAAAACAATGTTTTTATATAGAAAAACAAATTTAAGTAGTTTAAAAACATATGAACTGGAACATTTCAAAACAAAATTGACTTACAACCATCATACGTTTATTTTAATAAGGCAAAGAGCACTTTTCTACAATCCTCATTCAGCAGACTATGGGGGGATTTACTAAAACTGGAGCAGTCATCTGGTGCAGCTGTGCATTGTAGCCAATCAGCTTTTAACTTCAGCTTGTTCAGTTAAAGTGTTATTACACCCAGCACCTGGCATTCACTATATCTGGTCTCCCACAGTACACAGAACATGGAATGCAATTATTTTAGTAAATATAAACTGCTAAATACCTTTTCTCATCAGCAGTTAGAACAGTCTTGTGACTTCAGCAGAAAAGCTTGTAGGAGGAGTTTTCTTTCTGCTTTAGGAGGATGCAGAACCCTTGACCCTCTGTCTGGACAGTAATGATTGGCCCTGTGCCCATCACATGCACTCTCCCAACAAAAAAAAAAAACCTCTCTAGCAATACACACTAAACTGTGCATGTGCATGTGGCTACGGGTTGAGTCTGTCTTAGGAGATAAGATGTGGACATTTGAACAAGAGGAGGAGCAGAGAAGACAGGATCAAACAGGTTTATTTTACACAATGCAAAGGATTAACCCCTTAGGTTCCACAGTGAGTATAACAAGCATGCTTTACTGCATATATGGACTGATTTTTACTGTTGTGGGTTTAGTAACACTTTAAGCTTTGACAATAAAACCTGGAAGCTGATGTGTTTCTATACACAGCTGCATCAGATGTTGCACTCTCCAGTTTTAGTAAATCTCCTCCAGTGTTTGCAATGCATCTCATGCTATGGATTACTACAGCATGCCTATCATTGCTCCTTGCATACTGTATGTTATATATTATATACTGTACATGACTGCTTCTTCCCAAACAGGCAGCCAATTCAAAGCAGACCTGTGAGGGTTAATCCACTGTATTGTTATTAACAGCTGTAATTGAAAACATAAAGGAAGGCGGTAGCAAGTTAGCTGCACCATGGTCAGAGAAATGAAAGCACTGTGCAGCTTCAGATCCAGAAAGACAGATAATTTCACGCAATTAGTCTCCATTTCATTTATCATCCGCTCTTCCTGCTGCCGGCACGAGCCAAGCACCAAGAAAGGGGCTTTTGTTATCTGAGAGCTGATGCAGAGTGAACGCTGTTCCTGGACATCATCACTCCACCATCTGCCCTCAACAGTGCTCCAGCCGCAAAACATAATGTGCACACGCTGCTAATAAACAATACGTTCATTTGTATTCCAGAGCTCATTGCCTCCATTCAGTAAACAATACGATTTGGGAGGATTTTATACAGCTAGCCGTGACCTTGCTTTAGAAGGTTCCTTACACAGCCTGTAATGGGAACCGGAGCTGTGGTTGGCCAGCTGCTGGGGAGTGCCAGCTCCCACCTTCCAGGGCACAGTGAGGTCTGTTTCCTGGTGAGCCACTCATGGCCCAGGTCTGCTATAGGATGGTGGGGGGACAATGGTAATATGACATTAGAATTGTGTTCCTTAGATGTTATAGGACTTCTGTGTGCTGTTTAGTCAGTGGTGTTTGTACTTGTTTGTTTAGGAGAATGGAACAATCAAGAAGAGCATCAGTCAGATGATGCAGAATGTGCTCCTCGCCCTGTCCACGCGGGGCCAGTACCAGGAGATCCGAGAGAAGATCCGACAACCAGTAACTGATAAAGGGACCATTCTCAAAGCTAAGCCCCAGTCTGCCCAAAAGGACATCCTGAGTGTGTGTGGAGATCCACTCATCTTTGCCCAGCAGCTTACGACAATCGAATTGGTGAGTCTTGGATGACATTACAGGATTTGAGAGTTGTTCATAAGATATGGAGATCACCACACTCGTTCTTCTGCCAGTTAGAGGATTTAAGAGGTGTTCATAAGATATGGAGCTCACCGCACTCCCTTTCCTGCCAAACCCTGATGACCCGTAAACTTCTCCTGCTGCTCATATGGCTACTGAAACAAATACATCCAGCCAAGCCAATGAATGAACATTTTCTTTTGCAAAATAGTATGTTGTGTCAAAAAAGACATGTTGATGATAAAAATCATTTGTAGAAGAGTAATATGCCTATTACCACCTGTTATGACATATCCTGCAACCATGGTTCCATCTGCTCTTTTCTTCCCACCTCCACCTTATTAGTTTCTCTTCACCATACTGTGTACCCCTTTATTAGCTTCCCTCCACTTTTCTCATCCAACTGTGCACCCCTTTGTAACCCATTTCCACGTTCTTACCCACATTCTCCCCATCTAGAAATGTAGCACACTTGGAGGACAGCAGTTGTTCAGGACCAGAGAATGAGATTTCTGTGATAACACTACAGTGTCCTCTGTGTTTTATTGTTTTAGGAACGGTTAGGAAGCATTTATCCCGAGGATCTCATGCAGATCATAACTCACATGGACTCCTTGGATAAGGACAACCACAAGGTAGGTTTGTAGTGTAAGCAGTGCACAATAAATCCACCTTTCTGTTTCCTTTACTTAGCCTAATAAAGTATCAGAGTTTTTAAAAATGGATGCAAACAAGATTGTAAATATACCTAGTTTTTTTAAAGCCCAATTGAAGTCTCACACCATTTTATTTTGTTTTAGTCATTGTTCCCCCAATTTTCTCAATACAAAATTGCTGCGTCCTGCTCTCACACTGCACTGAATGACAGCCACTCTCCCCCTTCACAAGTGTCCTCACACAGACTTGGATTGTAGAGCAGGAGGCATGTCTGACCAGGTCTGTGAAATTACAGAGAGCCCTGGGTCAAACTTGTGTCTTTTGAACTGCACCGTCATATTTAGACCTCGTGCACAGCTGCTGTAAGTAGAAGCAATACCCGGTACACATTGTCAGTTTGTTTTTGTTCAACCCATCAGGCAGAACGGAAAAAAACTGAAGAGCTTAGGAGGAGTTCGCTGTACTAATTATCCAATATTAGCTCGGTGGTCTTCCCATTGAGCTATTGTGTTCTGACAGGGGGTACTGCACCCTAGTGTGTGCTCGCAGCCATTGGCTGGCAGGACTGATCGGATGCTGTTTTTCCAGCATGCCCTTTCGACAGAAGTTGGCTTTTGTCAGACATGCTAATATACACATGGGCAGAATGTCAGTTGGTTTCTGTTGTACCGGCCAATGTTCGGCCTGTGTGTACGGGGCTTAAGGCCATATGAGCTCAAGCATATGTTGGTATCTGGCCATATAGCTAAAATATTATGGGAGGTATGCTGGTACACCCATGCGTACACAAGTACCTGTGTAAAGATGTGTATGTCTGCATCCTGAGTTGTACATCCATACATGCATATAGACACATAGAGGCATTGATGTCTATAGGTAGCTGTAGGCTCCTGGCAGGGGAATACTCTCTACAGCCAGGTATGCCAGTGCATGAGCTCAAAAATGAAGGTTGTAATTCCAAAGTCTGAATATTTATGTCTGTGACTTCAACTAGGCTTTTAAAAATGATGGTCTCAAAAGCTGAACAAGATGGACAACCATTTTATGTATGTCCCAGTTTGTTTTGCACGTCCACCTCTATACATCACCCCATTGTAGATGATAAGATGGGGACACAGCCTCCCTACGCATGTGTTTTTGTTACTAAATTGGCCACACGTATTTTTCACCAGTGCCGAAGTGACGTTACCAAGACCTATAACCTAGAAGCCTACGACAACTGGTTTAACTGCCTCAGCATGCTGGTAGCGACAGAAATCTGCAGGGTGAGTTGTATGTTCCGGGCTCCTCTTACTACACTTATTACACCTATTATCTCAGCAGTCATTGCAATAACAAGGGATCTGGGCCAGATTTTCTTGTTGTGTCAGTGGTCCTTTATTATGCAGAACAGTCACATCCCATCATACCAGATTCTTCCCAGTGGAAGTGAAAATCATTCGAATACTTTCATGTAACAAAAAATCTGTTCAACTTGATTGAGAATGGGAATCTGTGAATGATTAGGTCCGTTGGTTGTCATATTTGCAGCTAAATTTTAAAAATACTGCAGTGAATCTTCCCAGAGTCTTTTGTAAGGAGGACATGTGGCTTATGAGAAAATAGTCAGCACTATAAATTTAAGTAATTATTATGGGTACTTGTTTAGTGCCGTTAATTTACGCAGTTCTTTACATATATATTGTACATTCACATCAGTCCCTAACCCTCAAGGGGCGTACAATCTAAGGTCCCTAACTTACATTCACACACATTCTATGGCCAATTTAGACAGGAGACAATTAAGCTACCAGCTTGTCTTTGGAGTGTAGGAGGAAACCAGAGTACCCAGAGGAAACCCATTCAGGCACAGGAAGAACATGCAAACTCCAGGCAGGTGGTGCTGTGGTTGGGATTCAAACCAATGTCCCTAGTACTGCCAGGCAGAAGTGCTAACCATTTAGCCACTCTGCTGCCTAAACACTAGATTTTTATTTTTTTATTAATTACAGGTACTCATAGTTACATAGTTAGTCTGGCTGAAAAAAAGACATCCAGTTCAACCATTAAAAGAAAAAAAAAAGTTATAATCCTATACCCACAGTTGATCCAGAGAAAGGAAAAAAAAACCCCGGCAAAGCCTTCAATGTATGCAGCATTTACACATATATTGTACATTCACATCAATCCCTAACCCTCAAGGGGCGTACAATCTAAAGTTCCTAACTTACATTCATACATACACATACTAGGACCAATTCAAACAAGAACATGCAAACTCCATGCAGGTAATGCCGTGGTTGGGATTTGAACTGATGACACTGGTGGTTCCAGTGTTATTATTTTTGTTGTGTAAGTCACTTCAGAAATGTATATCTTTTTTTCTGTCCTTTCTGTTTTATTGGTGTATGGTGTGAGAGTGAGCTGTGAAATGTAACTTCCTTTTTCAGCCATGTATGCACAAGCCACAGAGTGGAGCTCATAGTGAATTCTTAGAAATCGTCATCCACTGCGCACGTCTCATATAGACCTCAATGGTTATGGAGTGTGTGTTTATTATGACTGCAGATAACTATGTTCAGCTTTGATCTGGTAAAGATAGAAGCACAGTGCAGCTTTTATTTGTATATGTCTAGCCTTCAGTTTAAAGATTCCGTCAATACAGATGGCAAAAATGCAAGACTCGTTTCAGTCTGTTTTGAATTTGTTTTTAATCTGTTTTGTACAATGACGAAGAAACGTAAGGTGGATTAAAACTGTTCACTATTGGTTAAAGTACAGCTGGCATTGAAAAGTACGGGGCTGCCATTGCTGCCACCTTCTGAAAATGCCTGCTGACAGCCTGCCACCAGATCGCTCATTTCAGCAAAAATCTTCCCATAAGAATATATGAGCATTTACCTTATTTTTATGAATTGTATTTTCTGTAAGGCAGGCCATACATTATACAATTTTCTTTCCTTTAACCACGGGTTGAAGGAAAGAAAATTGCTTGATTCCCCCATCAACACTGATTGTGTTGATGGGGGAATCAAGCAATTTTCTTTCCTTCAATCAATGGTTAACAGAATACAATGATCACTGCTGGCAGATACAGCCGCTGGCAGTGATTGCACGAAAAAGATCTCACAGGCTGTCACTTTTGATCAACTGCAGGACAATCAGCCTGCCCATAGATGGATTGAATTTTTCTGGTTCTTGCTGAACCTTCTGAATTGTGTTCCATATATGGATGGCTTAACGGCTTGCCTTGTGTAGATATCCAAAACCCTTGAGACTTCTGCTGGGCACCACATTTTAGATGTGATATCTGCAGACTCAAGTGACACTGTACGGGCGTACCTCGGTTTACGAATGTAAGCTCCAAGGAGTAGGGCCCTCCTTTCTCTCTTGTATTGAACTGTATTGTTGCTGTATTGTCTCCCGTTATATTGTAAAGCGCTGAGCAAACTATTGGCGCTATATAAATCCTGTATAATAATAATGCGTTCTCCGGGACGTTTCGTATTGTGAAAAATTCATAAACCCGGTTTCCCATAGGAATGCATTGAAAACCAATTAATCCGTTCCGGAGGTCAGAAAAAAGTGAAAAAAAAAAAGTCTTTTATCTGTTCAAAACTCTTTATAAAGTGCACTTTTAAGGCATAAATACTGTACAGGGACACACTTCTAAATTTCCATAATGGGGCCAGCACTATAAACCTCCCAGGTGCAATTCATCCTGGGGAAACTTGCTTCGTATTGCAAAAAAAATTTGTAAATGCATTGAAAACCAATTAATCCGTTCCGGATGTCAGTAAAAAGTAAAAAAAAAGTCTTATCTGTTCAAAACTCTTTATAAAGTGCACTTTAAAGGCTTAAATACTGTACAGGGACATGATTCAAAATGTCCAGAATGGCTCCAAAACTGCTCCAACACCTCCACACTCGACACCACGTGATACCCACAGACTCCAGCATGCACGGGGCTGGTGCTATAAACCTCCCAGCCGCAATTCATCCTGGGAAAACTTGCTTCGTATTGTGAAAAAAATTAGTAAACCAAGGCATTATTTTCAATGGATTTTCATTCGTAAACCAAAAATTACATTAACCGAGACGTTCGTAAACCGAGGTACACCTGTATAGTATTTTCCTTTGCGTTCCCAGAACACATATAAAAGGATATGTAGAGAGATGGGGAGCCATAGAGGAGCTGGGCCAGCACAGTAATTAGCCACTCTCAGAGAAGGAGAGAACTATGAAATGAAGGAGGGAGGGGGCTGTACTATGGAATTTTTCTAGTGATTTCAGAGGCACTTTGCAATTCAATAAAACTAAAAGGAAAAACTGCAAGTAAGCATTTGTTGCTGCGCTTTTACTGGAATTTTTGTCCCGTTGGTGATAGGGTTAAATACTTTTGAGTCACAGCCCTAGAGCAAGCACCCTGTAAATGAGTGTTAGTAAAGTCTCCATAGCAGTATACTTGTGCTGAGCATACTATGGCTGTAGACTGCCCAGACAACGCCATACATCAGTGACGGTATTCTCTCAATCACGATTGTTTGATGTCTTGTACTGTGTAGGTGGTGAAGAAGAAACAAAGAACAAGGGTGATGGAGTTCTTCATAGACGTAGCCCGGGAATGTTTTAACATTGGAAATTTCAACTCTATGATGGCCATCATCTGTAAGTTGTTGGATTTTTATGACGATTTTATCTACTTTCACACATCTAAACTCAATGTCTGCAGACTGTATTTGTGAGTCCCTTCCATCCAGGACATCCCAAACTACTGCTGTGTGCCGTACGAAGCCTGGAAAATGAAGGATTGCTGATCGGGGCCACAGACAAACACTGGGGAGATTTCCTAAAACTGGAGCAGCCAGAATTCAGTGCGGCCGTGCATGGGAGCCAATCAGATTCTAACTTCAACTTGTTCGGTGAAGCTTCGGGAATAAAACCTGGAAGCTGATTGGTTTCTACGCAGAGTTGCAGCAGATTTTGCACCATGCAGTTGTAGTAAATAACTACCAGTGTTTTATAAATGTGCCCAGGCTGGGAAATGATGGATTAACCCTGATCAGCAAAACTCCTTGCTTGGCTGCACACTCAATACGCTTTATGTATTCCACACGGGTAATGTGAAGGATTGGAAAATGGATTTACCTTCAGCCTGGTATTAGGTGACCCCCTATAGCAGAGGGGGGTGCTTGTGGGCCATTTTTAGACTGGCATTAGGTGACCCCTATAGCAGAGGGGGGTGTTTGTGGGCCATTTTTTAGCCTGGTATTAGGTGACCCCTATAGCAGAGGGGGGTGCTTGTGGGTCATTTTTAGCCTGGTATTAGGTGACCCCTATAGCAGAGGGGGGTGCTTGTGGGTCATTTTTAGCCTGGTATTAGGTGACCCCTATAGCAGAGGGGGGTGCTTGTGGGCCATTTTTAGCCTGGTATTAGGTGACCCCTATAGCAGAGGGAGGTGCTTGTGGGCCATTTTTAGCCTGGTGTTAGGTGACCCCTATAGCAGAGGGGGGTGCTTGTGGGCCATTTTTAGCCTGGTATTAGGTGACCCCTATAGCAGAGGGAGGTGCTTGTGGGCCATTTTTAGCCTGGTGTTAGGTGACCCTTATAGCAGAGGGGGGTGCTTGTGGGCCATATTTAGCCTGGTGTTAGGTGACCCCTATAGCAGAGGGGGGTGCTTGTGGGCCATTTTTAGCCTGGTGTTAGGTGACCCCTATAGCAGAGGGGGTGCTTGTGGGCCATTTTTAGCCTGGTATTAGGTGACCCCTATAGCAGAGGGGGGTGCTTGTGGGTCATTTGACTGATTACATTACCTAAGAGAGAAGCCCACTGAACAGTCCTGGTGGAGAGACCCCCTCCAATCTGCTGATTCATCTGTTTCCTATGTTGGAGGAGCATTTACAGGTCCTGCTATCCTCCAGTCCCCACAGAGACAGGTGGAGGGCAACACTAGTATAGCACAGAAATAAAGCCAGCATTTAGGCTCCATTCACACCTATGCAGTTTGTATTTTGTCCGTTTTGCAGTGATTTTTGCAGTTCGTTACACATTTTTGGTGCATTTTGATGTTTTTGACACGTTTTTAATGCATTTTACCACATTTCGCTTTTTGTTCAGCTCTTTTTGTTTTTTTCTCTTAAAGTGGAATTTTTTTTGATGCAAAAAAAAAAAATTGCACTACCAAGCATTTCAGCAGCTTCTCCATTGAGTTCTATTGTAGCAAAAACGCTGCTTTTTGCTTATAAAGTCCCTGACCCTTTCCAAAAACGCAGCAGCTCAAAAAAGCACAGATGTGAACGTGTCCCATAGGAAACCATGTTAAATGGACTGTACTGCATTTCTGCAAAAAGCACTAAAAAAATGCATTGGTGTGAACGGAGCCTTAAACAAGGACAGGAGCACAGGCATGGACCTACTCTGTACTCCACTCTCAGCAGAGTGCCTCCAGAGAAAGTCATCTAGTGGTCTTTTCCTGAGGATCGGCTAATCCAGCACTTGACTGGCCAGTCTTCTCCCTCCCAGACATTACACTTGAAATGAATCCTAATAGCTGTCATTGTGAAGACTTGAGGCTTGAGGCTAATGCCTTTCACATTGCTTGAATACCACTACAGATTGTTGATGCTTTTACACCAAAATGACTGCTAATCTGACCAATCAGAATGGGATTGTCTAACGTCTGTGTTTGCTTGTAGCTGGAATGAACCTCAGTCCTGTCGCTCGGCTTAAGAAGACTTGGTCAAAAGTCAAGACAGCCAAGTTTGATGTGCTGGAGGTAAGGCAAGGTGTATGGGTGATGGAGTCTGTGTGTGAATTCCTTGTCTGGTTGTATGAATGTATACTGACGTGATGACGTTCCTACACAATGACCTCTGCCAGATCTGACTGTCACATTGTGCTGTCTCCAGTGATGTGGTGATATACTGCCTATAGTGACATGACCCAGTGATAGCATGCACTGTCTATAGTGACATGACCCAGTGATAGCATGCACTGTCTATAGTGACATGACCCAGTGATAGCATGCACTGTCTATAGTGACATGACCCAGTGATAGCATGCACTGCCTATAGTGACATGACCCAGTGATAGCATGCACTGCCTATAGTGACATGACCCAGTGATAGCATGCACTGCCTATAGTGACATGACCCAGTGATAGCATGCACTGCCTATAGTGACATGACCCAGTGATAGCATGCGCTGTCTATAGTGACATGACCCAGTGATAGCTTGCACTGTCTATAGTGACATGACCCAGTGATAGCATGCACTGTCTATAGTTACATGACCTAGTGATAGCATGCACTGTCTATAGTGACATGACCCAGTGATAGCATGCACTGCCTATAGTGACATGACCCAGTGATAGCATGCACTGCCTATAGTGACATGACCCAATGATAGCATGCACTGTCTATAGTGACATGACCCAGTGATAGCATGCACTGTCTATAGTGACATGACCCAGTGATAGCATGCACTGTCTATAGTTACATGACCTAGTGATAGCATGCACTGTCTATAGTGACATGACCCAGTGATAGCATGCACTGCCTATAGTGACATGACCCAATGATAGCATGCACTGTCTATAGTGACATGGCCCAGTGATAGCATGCACTGCCTATAGTGACATGATCCAATGATAGCATGCACTGCCTATAGTGACATGACCCCGTGATAGCATGCACTGCCTATAGTGACATGACCCAGTGATAGCATGCACTGCTTATAGTGACATGGCCCATTGATCATACACTCTTCTTATAGTGACATGACTTAGTGCCTGCATGCGTTGTGTACTGTGCTGTGACCCAGTGATGGCATATACTGCTTACTGTGATGTGACCCACTTACTTCAAATCCTGCCTACTGTGATATGACCCAGTAACCACATGCACTCTGTATTCGGTTTCACCAAATGTTCCTATAGTTACATGATATAGAAACCCTGAAGCTTGTTCTGGAGCATTGCTCCCCCATACAATTGAATGGGCTGGTATTTCTGTTTGTGCAGCATTATGCAAATGCTTTAATGCACCCCAACAGACGAAAAAGATTAGAATAGTCCCTTATATGTTGGTAGAATACTCTCGCCTCTCGCCTCTCACCTCCCACCTCCCCTATATCACCAATGGCTATAACATACTATTACATGTTACTAGAGGGCAATAGTGAGCTGTAGTGCCATCTAGTGTGCATGAAGAAAATGGCAGCAGAGACTTTATTACTATCATTACACAGCCCGGCCTGTTAGGAGTATATTAAGTATTCCTGATACTACATTTACGCTTTAATCTGAATACAAATTCTGTATTAACATTTCTTTTATGACTGCAGCTGTGTGAGACATAACACTTTTTACTGACTTCTACTATATAGTATAATGCATGTTTAATACACATAGTAAACCTTTGCTGCTTTAATAATTAGCAGAGACCGGGACTCATTTAGCCTTCTGTGCCATAAATTATAGACTGAGTAGTGGGTGCAATATCTCTAAGTTAGCCTCAACAAACTCTATGATTTAACCAATGGCATAGTGGTGATAATAGTTACATACGTGTCCATGTTGTGGGATTATGGTGCCATTAAGCTGTTTTGTTTTTCTGTGATTGGCAGCATCATATGGATCCATCCAGCAATTTCTGCAATTACCGCACAGCACTCCAGGGGGCAACACAAAGGTCTCAGAGTGCTAACAGCAGCCGGGAGAAAATTGTTATCCCAGTTTTCAATCTGTTCATCAAAGATATCTTCTTCCTGCACAAAATCCACTCCAATCGTTTGCCTAATGGCCACATCAATTTTAAGGTAAAATATATTAATTTTGAATAATATATATTTATACAGTACAAGGTGATAGCAAAAAAGTTTTGACACTAGTTTTGTAACAAGCCAACAGATGGCAGCACAAGGCTGCATGCACAGTCACAGAGAGCAGAGAACTTCACAGGTCAGTGTGCCAAAATACATCTTCCCGTGTACATCGGGAGCTGTGCATTTGGTGCTATTCTGACCACGTTTGCTATTTCATCATGGACAGCAAATTGGAACAAACAGCAAACGTAAAATTCAGCGTGAAACTGGATAAATCTGCCACAGAGACGTTTGACATGATTTGGCGAGCTTATGGCAACACTGCAGTGAGCCGTTGAAGGTGTTTTGAGTGGCACGCATGCTTCAAGAGTGGAAGAACATCACAGGAAAATGATGAGAGATCAGGAAGATCTTTAACAAGCTCAAGCCCCGGAAATGCCCTCTTCCTGAAGATGAAGATCCAGCTTAAAGGTCACCCTTTTGACAACATTGCGGAGATCCAGCGATTTGCCTAGTTTCACACAGAATTTCACGTTTGCTGTTCTACCTTGATGTCCATGATGAAATAGCAGACATGGTAACGCATATGGTCAGAATAACACCAGTTGCACAGCTCCTGATGTATACAGGACAATGTCTTTTGGTTCACTAACCTATGAAGTTCGCTGCTCCCTGTGACTGTGCGTGCAGCCTTGTGCTGCCATCTGTTGGGGTGTTACAAAACTAGTTTTGAAACGTTTCGATACCATCTCGTATATGTTTTATATTCAGATGTGTATTCCTAATATCAGTGGATTACAAATTACGTTTGTCTTTTTTACAGAAATTCATGGAGATTTCAAGGCAGATTCACGATTTCCTGACCTGGAAGCAGGTGGAATGTCCATTTGAGAAAGACAAGAAAATTCAGACATACCTTCTCACGTCACCAATATATACAGAAGAAGGTGAGAGCATGTATGGTCAATATCCTACTGGAATGGGTACATTTACGTTATGCGGTTTGTAGGATGTGTAACCAAACTTATCAAACAATAGCCGAAGAACTAGATCCATTTCTACCAGTTGGTGCTTCGCTACTACCGTGAGCTGTGTAGGCACCAGACCATTGCCTTTTCCCCACCCTGTACCTGAACCCCAGTGTACCCAGTTATGATGTGTACTGTGCCAGCATTCTTACAAATGTCTATTGGTGGCCCTTACATTTGTGATAAGTTCTTGGTGCCCCACTGTTACATAGTTAGTCTGGCTGAAAAAAGACAAAAGGCCTTTCATTTCAACCATAAAAAAAAAAGAAGTTATAATCTTTCACCCACAGTTGATCCAGAGGAAGGCAACCCCCCCAGCAAAGCATGATCCGATTTGCTGCTGCTGGGAAAATAATTCCTTCCTGATCCCCTGAGAGGCAATCAGATATTCCCTGGATCAACTTTACCTATTAATGTTAGTATCCAGTTATATTCTGTGTATCTAGGAAAGAATCCAGGCCCTTTTTAAAGCAATCCACTGAGCTGGCCAGAATCAAATCTTGAGGGAGTCTATTCCACATTTTCACAGCTCTTACTGTGAAGAAACCTTTCCATGTTTGGAGATTACATTTCTTTTCCTCTGTGAAACATTATTGTCCTGAGAATGTAATATAGATCAAGGTAGCCCTGAGCATTTATTTTAAAAGGCTAAGTTTACTTTTGGTAACAAGTTACCAGGCAGCATCCTCCCCCCTGCCGCACCCACTGTCACAATTTAAAATCAGCATGGTTGTGTGGGGCTCCACCTATACAGCCGGGGTCATTCATTCACAGGAATCTTGTAGTTTGAATGATTTGTGGGTGCCCTGATCAGCACACCCATATTTCGTTCACGCTGCATACAACTCAGGAACTGTCTGCCCATACAGAGGTGTGGGCACAGAAATCTAGGGGTAGTGCCTGCAGGAGCCTGACATTGCACTCATGATCCTGCAGCTGATACATTGCATAGATTAATTTATCATTTCAGATCTACAGCACTAAAAAGTGTAAATGAAACATTACCCCAATAAAATCGTGACTGTTTTGTAACTTTCCAGGAACATTATAAATCAAAATGGTAATAAACTACAATCAGAGTCAAAGCTGAATTGCAGTGTATGCTGATGGTCACACGTACCTCCCATGGGAAATGTAAACATCTTCTGTACTTTCCATTATGTGAAATGCCATGGCATGAAATACGACAGTGAGAAGCATGTGACCACCAGAGCCAAACAGAACAATGATAGTTGTACCTGTTCAGCCACAAACATAATGTGCTGCCGTGTAGAATGCAAAGCGGTTGTAAAGGCTCAAGGCTTTTTTACCTTTGTGCATTCTATCCATGAAGGTAAAGAACCTTCTGTATGCAGCAGTGCCCCCAGCCCCTCCTAATACTTACCCAAGCCCACTCTCCATCTAGTGATATGCACTGGAGTCTCGGCTAGCCCGGGACTCCCTCTCCTCATTGGCTGAGATTGACTGCTGTCAATCACAGCTAGTGAGCCAATGAGAAGAGAGGGGGTGGGGCCAAGCCTCAGCTCCGTGTGTGTGAATGGACACTTGAAGCAGCAGGTGCCCCCATAGTAAGCTGTTTGCTGTGGGGACACCTGACAGGAGGGAAGGGCCAGGAGCACCAGCAGGGGACCCGAGAAGAGGAGAATCCGGGCTGCTCTGTGTAAAAGTATAGACATTTTGTTATTTTTTCTGAAAAAAAAAAAAAAAATAAGCCGTTAGTAAATGGGACCCATCTTTATATAAATTGGCTCTTAAAGTGATTCTATCTATATTGGTTTGCTTGATATTCATTGTACTGCTTTGTAAGGATGACCTAAGTTTGCCATACACTGCTCAGATGTTGATTCCTACTGGTCCAAGCAGTGTATGGCCCCCTGTCAGCAGTGGTGTATTTAGGTTTTGTGCTGCCCTAGGCAACACAAAAATTGGATGCCCCCCTCCCCAGCGGAGAGAGCCTGACAGTGACCTACAACACCCCTGCCCCATCCCCTCCCACCCGAGAGGGCCTTCCACTAACACCCATCCTGGCAACAGAAACACACTCACCTTCCCAGCTCTGGCTATCCCCAGGAGCAACAGTTGAGCTCGGCATACACCTTCAAGCAGCCCACAGCCTCTCTCCGATCTCACCTGGTCCCCATGTTCCTCCTTCCGGGGGGCAATACCCCACCAAAAATATGCCACCCTAGGCAAATGCCTTGTTTGCCTGGTGGTAAATATGCCCCTGCCTGTCAGCACCATTTCGTTCAATAGAAGTTGATTGTTCAGTCTTCTTTTGTCAAAGGGCCTGACTTTAGTCAACTTGTCAGCCAAAGACTGCATCCAATCAGATGCTAGGACTGTTTGGGTATTCTGACAGTCAGCAGTACAGTTGTCTGGTGGGGAGATTCATCCATTTATCCTCCCCACCAGGCTCCATTACAGAAATATGTGTATGGCCAGCTTTCTGCCTGTCCTGCACATTGTTCAGAAATGAATTCATGGTGGGTACGATTGATACAAGATTTGTAACATTTACCTTTTTCCTTTTTGTAGCTCTCTTTGTGGCTTCTTATGAAAATGAGGGTCCAGATAATCATATGGAGAAGGACAGCTGGAAGACTCTCAGGTACACCATGACCACAGTCATACCAATCCTAGAAGATCATTGTAATAATGGCTGAGGGCTGAATGCTGGATATGGACTGATCCTATTGCAGGAGATAGAGATGTTTTGGGGAAGGGCATGCTCAGAAATACAGAGAGTTTTTAATTTGCATTTTGTAGCTAATGCTTAACTGTTATCAGGTTCATGTAAATATGCTGCATTTATTTTATCAATACGTCTACGGAGTCTGCTTAATCCCTTCACGCCGGATCATCCCGGTGTGAAGAGGGGTTCCTGCACGGGGAGGTGGGTGGGACGGGGCTTAGTGTCATTTGGCCGCCGTGTCGTCACGTCACGGCTGGTCACATGATCGGGAAAGGTCCCGATCGAAAGAGCGGACCGGGACCTTTCCTTGTGTACCGCACATGTGTGCTGGGAACGCGCAGGGCGCACGCTCTCAGCACATATGTTTTTTGTTACATGAACACAAATTTGCGGCCGCTCGGTGTCTAGGCCCAGACACCGGGAGGCCACACATTTTCGTGCGGCCAGCGTGAAGGGGTTAACCACTTGCCCTCCTAAGGATTCCCCCCCCCCGCCCCCCCTTCCTGACCAGGCCATTTTTTGTGTTACGGCACTGCGTTACTTTAACTGAAAATTGCGCGGTTATGCAACGCTGCAAATTAATTTATGTCCTTTTTTCCCACAAATCAAGCTTTTTTTTCGGTGGTATTTGATCACCTGTGCGTTTTTTTTTTTAATTTTTTGCACTATTAAAGAAAAAAAAGACCAACAATTTGGAGAAAAAAAAAACAATATTTTTGACTTTTTGCTATTGAATGTCCAGTAAAAAAAATTTAAAAAATCTAATTTCGTCACAAATTTAAGCCAAATGTATTTGCTAAAAAAAAAATTCCAATACATGTAAATTAATTGGTTTACGTAAAAGTTATAGCGTTTACAAATGGCGGTATAGATACTGGAATTTTTTTATATATTTTTTTTTTTTTAAATTTTTACTAGTAATGGCAACGATCAGCATCTTATAGCGGGAGTGCGGCGGGCATTCTGACACTGGGAGGACTGACTTGGTGTCACTGACATCCCCAGTGACACCAGTACAGGGATCAGTGCTAATAAAAAGCACTGACACTGTACTAATGGCACTGGGCAGGAAGGGGTTAACATGTGGGGCGATCAAAGGGTTACCTGTGTGCTGTTTTACACTGTGTCCTGTGTTGGTGCTTCATTGTAAGCACACTGCTTTGCATGGCCATGCAAAGCAGTGTGCAGGAGCTGACAGGGGAAGAACTGTTTTGTATACAAACAGTTCTCCCCCCCCAGTTGGAGAGGCTGGAAAATCACTGGGCACCAGTGAGTAATCACCGGCCGGGTCCCGGTGACTGACAGCTGAGGCCGCCGCGAAGGGTGGCGCGGGTAGGGCACGCGCCACTTATCCGGAAATGCAGAATCACGTATATATGTATGTATGTACAGTATGTGTGTGTGTGTGTATGTGTATGTATATATATATATATATATATATATATATATATATATATGATTTTGCAGACCTGTGCCGCCCTGTAGCAGTATTTCTGCTATCGGGCGGACAGGAAGCAGTTAAGTCTTGGTTCACACTGTTGGGGTTAACGCATGCACAGTCACCTGTTATGGCACACATTAACATAGTTTACGTAAAGGCATGGCATTCATTTTAATGGGTTGCCTAACATACCAACAAAAAAGGAACAGGTCCTATTTTTGTGCCCAGCATGCTGGCCAGTTTCTGTAAATTGGTGTATTGGGGAGCCATTGAGAATGAAAGACACGGCTTCACACAACAGTATGCACATGGCGTAAAAAACATTTGTACAAGAATGTAAACTGTTAGAAGGCCAGCTAATGGCCCCTGGGCTACCTTTCTGTTGACAAATGTAGTTAACACTGATGGAGTAAAAGGACTAAGCCAGTGTCATAGATACTTCGAATATCTGGCAGTGAATGGTTGGGGCTTGTAGCAATTACATACTCATTATTATGACTTGTCATGTAAGCAGAAGTTTCACAAATGTAATTTTGCACAATTATTTAGCTTTCCCCGTGGATTATCTGCTTTAAAGGGCCAGCTGTGAGATGTAGATGTAAGCCCTCGCTGAGTGACATTTAGTTTAATAAAGCAGTTGTGTATCATAAACAATGCCATTTATATACATACTTGTTTGCAACATTTGTTTGACACAGCTTGGCCCCACCCCCTGTTACCTCCTCACTGGCTGTGATTGACAGCAGCAAGAGCCAAGGGCTCCAGCTGCTGTCTCTGAGCCAGTGAGGGAGAGAACAAGGAGAGCCTCTGCTCTCATGCACGTTGATGGATTGAGATTAAGTGTGGGTAAGTATAAAGGGGGGGAGCTACATGCAGAAGTTGATTGTTTTTTTTTTTTTTTTTTTTTTTTTTTTTTACCTTAATGCATAGAACACATGAAGGTGAAACACTTTCAGCCTTTAGAACCACTTTAATATTGGGGGGACTCACATGTGAAATAAAGCTGCCTGTATGTGGACTTGTTCAGTGTGTTGGTGTTATTTAAAGTCCATTTCTGTTCTCTCTCTCTCCAGGTCAACACTTTTAAACAGAGCCTGAGAAGATCCAGGAGACGTCTGAAGCACACACCCAATTTGTTTTTTCTGTTTTTTTGTTCTTGTATTGTGCAGAATGTTTTAGTCAGGAAGACAGTCCTCGCTGGTTGGGGGTCTGCTGATTTTTGTACATAAAAACTTTTACAAGTCTTAAAAGAATACCAGTCTATAACTTTAATTATATAAATATATATATATTTCATGCTGTAAGCACTTAAAAAGGAGAAATCTAAAAGGGATACGTGTTTTCTTATTTTTGTTTATTACAAAAAGAACCCTTTGCTGCTGGAATGGCCAAAAAGTGAATGTCTTTGTAAAGTACAGAGTAATAAATGCACTGTATGAGCCTTTTTCACAAGAGGGTTACCCCTTACCCCCCTCCCATAAATGCTACAATCACACACAAGGGCAGGGCCCTGGTTTAACGAATTGATGGCTGTTTATAAATGGAAGGGGTTAGTGGGTCCGGACAGATGTAATATATCTGTTTTGTCTGCCCATGCTGCTATATTAAGGTAGTAATAACCCATACCACACCATCTAGAGAGAAGTACAAACCATCAATTACATATCCAAAATGTTCCTTTGCCTTTATGACTCTCTCCTTTTAACAATTTGTAAAGTCATTTCGAATGACGAGTCAGCGAAAGTCGCAGGAAGACTTGTTCCACTGCCTGCTATTAGATGCAGTCAAGGTGCCTTTTATGTGACACTTACACTAATGGAAAAAAAACACACTTCCCCAAGTCGATTTCTATGTCTTATACACTATGTACAAGCGCTCCCTATACTGCTGAGATTACTGAATTTGGTTTTTACATGCAAGTGTGCTCGGTGTTTCCAAAGTCCATTTTTATGACACCTATTTAAAAAACCTTAAATTGTCACTATTGTACCCATTACATACAAAGTCTCCTTTTATAGTACCAAGGGACCCATTAGATGATATGTGGCCAAAGCTTTAGTATTGCATGACAAGAACTGCTTAAGGACCAAAACAACTTATATAAATAGTAGCAGGCACAACGAATATATAAAACATCCTGTGGCTAATGTAGGGGCATCTATGGTTGTACAATAATTATGGTCACCTACACAAAGGTATGGCATTTCCCTTCCCCACTGTCATGGCCGAGATGAAGTCTTTGGTGCCCTTCTCAACTCTAGAACCAGAACCATACTCTTCTGTGTCTCCACCCCTGAAATGTGTACCAGAGCTGCGTTAATCACTCAAGCGAGTATTACCAGGGTCTGCCATAGGAGGGTGCAGTTGGGATTTTTACACCCGCACATACTAGGGCCAATCGTCCTACCAGCATGGCCTTTGAAGTGTAGAAGGAAACCAATGTACCCAGAGGAAAGCCAGGCAAGCGAGGGAGAGCATTCAAATTCATCTACTGTAGTATAGGCAGTATCATGCAGTAGAATGTACAAGGTACTTCCCTAAAGCTGCTTTCACACCGATCAGTTTTTTTTCCCCCATTTTTATGTTAAGAAAAATGCATGTACATTACATCCAGCAGAACTCTTCACACTAGTCAAGTTGCAGATCAGTTGCATTTTTAAAAGTGCTACATTTTTAGTGTTTAAAAACCACACCTCCCCATTACAATGCATTAAAGTGTTACTAAACCCACAGCAGTAAAATCAGAGTGTATATGCAGTAAAGCATTCTTGTTATACTCACTGTCACTAAGGGGTTAATCCTCCACATTGTGTAAAAACACTGCTTGATCCTGACTTCTCTGATCCTCCCCTTCTTCTAGTCTCCCCAATCCATCTGCTGATAGCACAGAGCCTTATGCAGGCCATAGATGGGACGTTCATCGGTCCAAATTGTCGGCCGAACGAAAAATCGGCTGATATTCACATTGTTAGTAGGGCAATGTCGTTGGCCGATTTTCGTGGTTCTTGTCATTTCTTTTTATCGGTCATGTTGGAAAATCTACAAAAAACGGTCGTTCTTTGGAAGCATTGGTGGCAACAACGACCGATTTTTTTGTTTATTGGCCGATAAACGTCCTGTCTATGGCTAGACTTAGGGGCAAGCTGCACATGCTCAGATTTTTTTTTTTCCCACTTGGGAGAGTGCATATGATCAGCACAGGGCCAATGAGCATAGTCCAGACAGAGGTCAGGGGTTCTACATCCTAGAGCAGTGGTCTCCAAACTGCGGCTGGGGGGCCCTTTGCTTGCCTCTATCTGGCCCTTGGGTCATGCTCTGACACCAATGAGGAGGCACCATTTCTCCCACTTTCACCATTAATGGAACAGTCTTCTTCCTACTGATACCATCAATGTGGCCCTATTCTTCCTGCTGAGACCAGTGATGAGGCACTATTTCTCCCAATGATGAGTCACTATTTCTCCCAATGACACCATCGGTGGGGCACTATACCTCCAATTGATACCAACCATGGTTCACTATTCCTCCTGTGAAAACCAATGGTGGAGCAGTGTTTATTCCCACGAATGCTGGGACATTTTCTAATCACAATGGCCACAGTTTACCCCCCTAAAGCCTTAAGGACAATCAACTGGCCCTTTGTTTAAACAATTTGGAGACCCCTGTTCTAGAGCAGAATGAAAACTACAAGCTTTAACATGTGCTCTGCTGGACACTGATAGAAGTCACAAAACTGATCTAACTGCTGATGAGAAAAAGGTATTTAGCAATTTATATTTACTAAAATAATTTCATTTCCATGTTCTGTGTAACGTGGGAGACCAGATATAGTGAATGCAGGGTACTGGGTTTAGTAACACTTTAAAAATTTATCAAAACCGCACCCGAGCTTGTGTTTTTGGTGTGTTTTTTGAGTCACGTCTCCAAATTTCACAGATGCATGCTGGATAATAGACACCCAGAAAACACCGGAAATGCAACAAAAACACGCATTTTTACTGCATTATTGCAGCAGAGCAGTTTGAAAACAGCCTTTGGGGGATAAGGGATTAGCGAGACAGTTTAGATCAGGGGTGTCAAACTGGCGGCCCTCCAGCTGTTGCAAAACTACAAGTCCCATCATGCCTCTGCCTTTCGGAATCATTCTTGTAACTCAATATTGCAATGCCTCATGGGACTTGTAGTTTGGCTGGAGGGCCACCAGTTTGACACCTGTGGTTTAGAGAGTCAGCTTTATGCATGATGTCTGCATACTGTATCAATCAATCTTCTACCAAAGCCCACCCGCCTCTACTATCTGTAGCCACCTTTATTAGAAACAATATCATTGAACATGAACAATTTATTGCACTTTAGCCCTGAGAAATCTCTCCACACAAAGCAGGCCTAATGAAAAGGGTGCTATAAAGAGAGCATTTGCTATAGAATGAAACGCTTGAATAGTAATAAGACACAGAATAAGCCCCATCTCTGGCAAACATGAAGTAATCTTCTATGTGTCCCCTTTAATGCCTTGATGAAAAACCATTCCGATGTCATCTGAAAGGCGCATTCCATTACATTGCTGTGCGTTGGGCCTGAGGCTCACGGTACACAACACATTTGCCATCTCTGTGAACAATCAGTAACTGGTTTTCTAAAATGAAGATCCACCCATCAATTACCATCCATACTACAATGGCCAATCACATTTAATCCGCCATTGCACCTGGGCGGCCTGAAAAGCTCACACAACATGGCCCCGATTCTCTAAAGAAAGCCTTATAATTGTAGAAAAGGGAATTCTTTCACGTGGAAAGTGTTTGTGATACAAAAGAGGACGGTGTGTAAGTGTCGCTCACAGAGGGATTCTGTTCTTCTCTTTCACAGTACCGAGCTCTTCTCATGTACATCTGGTTTCTACAATGTAATCTCTCCCTTTCAGTTTGAACTATTCCATGACTGTATTATTTGGGTATTTTTGTTCTATTGCCACCAGCTCGTCCAATCAAAGCTGTACTGTGAAGCAGGGTATTCTGTGTTTGACCTAATGTGCTTGCATAAATAAATACAGACTTGCTTCGAAATGGATCCACTGGCTTGAGTTTCATTTGTCGCACTTCCACTGCATGATTCTAAGGTCATCTATAGGTAGCATTCAAATGCTGCACCATGGAAAGAATTTCACATTTATACCGAACACACTGCTCCAAAAAAATGAAAGGAACACTTTGAAAACACATCAGATCTCAATGGGGAAAAATCTCATGCTGGATATCTATACTGATATGGATGGGTAATGTGTTAGAAACGTAAGGGTGGCCCATCGTTTGATGGAAATGAAAATGATCAACCTACAGAGGACTGAATTCAAAGACATCCTCAAAATCAAAGTGAAAAAATGATGCAGCAGGCTAATCTATTTTGCTGAAATTTCATTGCAACTCAAAATGGTGCTGAGTAGTTTGTATGGCCCCCTCGTGCTTGTATGTATGTCTGACAACTTCGGGGCATTCTCCTAATGAGACAGCAGATGGTGTCCCTGGGGGATTTCCTCCCAGATTTAGATCAGGGTATCACTGAGCTCCTGGACAGTCTGAGGTGCAACCTGGTGTCATTCAAATGAACCAAAATATGATATCCCAGAGGTGTTCTATTGGATTTAGGTCAGGCGAGCGTGGGGACCATTCAATGGTATCAATACCTAATGGCAGTCAGGGTGCCATTGTCTAGCCTGTAGAGATCTGTGTGTCCCTCAATGGATATGCATCCCCAGACCATCACTGACCCACCACCAATATGGTCATGCTGACAAAGTTACAGGCAGCATAATGTTCTCCCTTGGTTTCTCCAGACCCTGTCATATGTGCTCAGGGTGAACCTGCTCTCATCTGTGAAAAGCACAGGGTGCCAGTGGAAGACCTGCCAATTCTATGTTTAATGGTAAATGCCAATCAAGCTCTATGGTGCCAGTCAGTGGGCTCAAGACTCACTAGAATACATTGGTCCCTCAGGCCACCCTCATGAAGTCTGTTTATGATGTTTGGTCAGGTGACATTCACACCAGTAGCCTGCTGTTGGTCATTTTGTAGGGCTCTGGCAGTGCTCATCCTGTTCTT